TTCCAGTAACTGCTTCTAATCGGTGACTTGTGAGTATGCTTAGAATGTGTGTTTCTTTCAGATATTATCAAGGTTTTAATAACCCAGGCTTCCCTTTGTTGTCTTAATTTAGCCGAGCAACAGATGTTGAGCTGATACGAATTACTATGACTGATAATACTAACAGCCACAACTGTAGTAGGGGTGTTTTCTACTCTGCCAGAAGAACAAGTCACAACACATGTTCTGAATACTCGATTGTTTCATTTGCTTGACAGATTTGTCAGGGAATTCTGCATTTGAATTAGAAAACATACATAATAATATTATACTTTTTAAACCAGTATAGCTTTGCTTTTGAATGACCAGTAGGAAGGGTTTATCCCTAACAGCCCCACTCTATTCCCAAGTCTGGAGTCATGTTGTTTGGACCATCTGCTCTCTAACCCTGTCCCAGCTACACAGATCACTGCACCACCACCCCTGGATTATGGCATCAACACACACACACACGCACACACACACACACACACACACACACGCACACATCTTGGCTTTAATGTTGCTGCCAAGAGATGACGGCACATTTGTTTGTGTTTTCAGCAGCGATTTCCGCCATTACACAGACGCAATGAGCCAAAATTGTCATATTCTCCCATTATTTGAAGAACTGATTCCCCAGTGTGCTGCACAAAATCATTAGAATTGTTAGAAATGCAGAAATGTTCAAAAGGCAGGAGGATATTAGTAGATGTTAAGAAATATTATTTCAAAACGGGCTATTCGTCAACATGATTACTTGCAAACACACTCACACAAACTACAGTATTTCCCCATCTCTGTCTCTTTCAATCGCTTCGTCTAGAAATACATGGAGATCTCAGAGGTCTATTTCTGACTCACTCTGACACTGAAGTCACTCAGGCATGGCTGATCTCACACACACACACACACACACACACACACACACACACACACACACACACACACACACACACACAGCTAGGTAATACCTTTTTATGGCATTCCCCTGGAGATGCAAAATGATACCCTGCAAACGCTCTGACCAACCACCAGAAACTTCAGATTCACTGAGGACAGCATTTTAAATGAGGCTCAGCGATTTAAAATTCCTCGGCCCACTTCTTACATGCCATTGCCCTGAATTATGATTTATATAAAACTTGTTGCCATAGCAGCAAAACCCCTTCATTGCCTCCTTTTTGTCAGAGGCACTACATTAAAGAAAAAACTGTCAGAGAGTGTAATTTACAGTATGAAATACGGTTTTCCAAAAAATGATGACGGTTGCTGAGCCTGAACTCTACAAAGGGGCGGAAAGCAGCTTTATGGGATTACAAATTACTGCAAGAAGCCTTAAATAACAGCAAACAAGTCTTGCATCACCAATCGTGAAGTTCAATGCCACGGGAGAATAGCAGACATCGACTGATTTACTGACCATGTAAAAGTGTCTATAGAGCCGAGAACTCTCTTTAAAGAAGCCCAATTATGCTATCATGGGTTTGCCTTTTCGGTAGTGTGTTTTTGTGCATGTCAATGGTCTGCAAAGGCTGCAATCCCTGTGTTCCCTCCAGAGGGAGTTTCTCTCCCACACACTCCCCCCCCCCCCCCCCCCCTGCCTGAAACGCCTCCATTGGAGTCCTTTGTTTACTTCTGCAACATAGTGACATCACCATTTAAAACTGGGGCTACTATTGACTAGCGCTTCAACACATTGGACGTAATTGGCTAAGGGGAGGGACTTCTCTAAGCGGTTGACCAATCATAGCAGAGCCGGCCAGCTAACCAATCAGAGCAGACTGGGCTCTGGTTTCAGACAGAGGGTGAAAAGAGGTGCTGCAGCACAGGCAGTATGAGAAGAATAAAGAGCTTTTTGAACATTAAAGCATGGAGACATGTCCCATATACTGATATGAACCTGAACATCAGCACAATAGGTCTTATTTAAAAGGCTTAGGGTACAAGAGTACATCAATAGAAATCAGCGTCCAGTCAACTTGCCCCAAAATATAACAGACAAGAAAAAGACATTCAGAATATAAGAGTGTCAGACTAAAAAGGGAGCTGATCTTGATCAATCGGAATAAAATACAAAGAACACAAAAAGTCACTCAGGATTAAACTTGTAGGCCAGTCAGTCAGTATGAGATAAGAAATGGAGATGCCGCAATCACTCTCCAGTGAGCCTCATCTTTCATTCAGCATGTCATGTGTCAGAGAGCTGCTCACACACTTCAAGGTTGCTATGTATCCCTGAATGCGGCTCTGGCCCACGGAGATCAGCGGTCAGCGTGAGCAGATGGTCCCGCGCTATCGGCCCATTCTGCTGTGGATTAATACAACAAGGCACGGGAGATACGAGGCTCAGATGTGACGCCTGTGGGAGTGTGTGTGACTTGACATGTTAAAATAATGCTCTATTGTTTTATTTGGTAGCAGGAAATACTGCTCACCTCAGCTTCGAATTGATTCTGATGTCATAATCAAGGAAATACTGAGAACCAGGAGCAATTCTGTAATCACAATGCTTGAAATTCTTCATTTTGCTTTGTGATGGATTATTCAATTATTTATTTGATGTACTACACAGCTGCACTTAAGTCATCTGTGATGCACTCATCCAATTGCCACAGCAAATGTCCCTAAGTCTGAATCTGAAACAAGGCTCTCTACACGGCTTTATAACGCTGCATGATGTTTTACATTTCACAATGTAATGCATGTAATCCTTTGCAGAGGCCCACAAAAGCTTATGCATGCTTGGCCTGTCCTTTCAAGGTATGACCTGAAATGTAGAAGAACTTAATTGTGCATTAATATTGCATACTTAACACAGCCGGTGAATTATCTTGTTGCATTATTTCCCAAAAGGGATTTTATTTTGTAACCTTTTTTTGGGGTGTTGTTGCTTGGCATTGCAAAGTGACCTTTCGGAAACATGCAGGTCTGAATAACTCTACATATCCAAGTGAAAATGTGGCAAAAACATGATTATTTTACCATGGAGGTGAAGTCATTTAAAACCAACTGTGATGTGTTATGTAGACATATTTACTTTTCAAATTAATTCAGTGTTTGTACTGGATTCTGCTAAATAAATCAAATACATGCCACTGTTTGAGAACTATTTTGATTCCTTATTTATTACTAAAAATGTCTCAATAAGAATTTCAGGCATAGGAATCACAAACAACTACAAACTTGGAAATAACAAATCATAGTCGGCTACATAATTAAAAAGGCTCAAGGCCATCGGGGCATTACTGTTTAAAAAGGTGTATATTGGTACAAATGGTTTTGCATAATATGCTTACTTAACAAGTAAAAATACCTTTACATTGACAATAAGAAATGATGTTGTATGCATCCAGGTGTGGATATACAGGATGCCATGGTGTGGAGAATAAGCCAACAACGTTAAAAAAAAGTTGTTTCCCTATTTCAATGTGACTCAAAAGAGCCTACACTGCACTAAGCCTCGGCACACACCTAGTCAAAGGCTGCTGAATTATGATTTATTTTTTGCCTCCACGTCTTCAGCAACAAAGAGAAATACCGAGAGCACACATCTTATATTGGTGTTAGTAGCAAGTCCTTGGAGAGTGTAACGGAGTTGAGGTATCAGTATTAAAGAGAAGGCCTCTCCAAAAAAGCCACCTGGAAGCCTGTGTGAGCCCGAGGCCCGTCAGACCCATACAGCTCCACCATAATAACAACCTGGAACCGTAAACAAGCTTTGACCCGGGGTGAATGTGGTGGAAAGGCTGTGTTAGAAGTTTGAACCCTGTCATTTTGGAAAGTGAGAGATGAAAGCACCACTCCTCGGGCAAAAACACATTTGAAATGCCCTTGAAAGCACACAGGTACAGGCGGCGTGCATCCCCATCAGCTGGGCCAAAGCAAATGAAATGTTTAACTGAGATAATTCCAGTTAATGAGCTCCTGAATCTACTATATAAACAGTACACATGTTCTACTTCCTAGAACTGCATGCTGTATGAATACATATTTAAGAGTATTGTACATCAAAAAGGCACACATTTCTTATTCCACACACATACACTCTGGCATAACAACAGGGGAATTGCAAGGCATATCATAAAATATTCCGAATAAGCAAACAAGGAGGCAGCAAAGGGAATTGTATGAATGCAACAGCATAATCAAATGCCCAGTTATCAACAAGCCTGAGTCTTATGTTCAATCTATGTCTCATTTCCTAGTATGCTTGTCATCATGAAGGATCAAAGTTTGGAGAAAGTGCCTTATTTAGCTGCATAATTATGTATAAGCCCCCAGAACCACATTAACAAGTAAAACAAAATGCCAGCACACTCTGAGCTGCTACAGGTGATTAATGACTGATCTGATTGTTGTCGTGACTAATGAGCCGATATTGATGGATGCAGCATTTGAAACAAACCGGGTTTGCCTTCAGGCAGCTCATGCCTCCAAAGCGTATTTTTACAAGTGGAAACAGGAATGTGCGCCAAACTCCGTAGAGAATGTTACCTATTTAAGGTATCTTTGCTTTTTTACTTTAATCCATGCATTTGTACTATCAAATAATAAATTTTATCAATTAAATGGAAGCTTTGTGTTAATTCGGCATTCAATTAAATACCAAGCAGCATGTTTTTTAATAAAAAAATCCAACTTTAATCAAGTGTTCAGCTCTTATTTCCAACACTAAATACAGCATTAGTGAGCAGTGTGGAAGCGTGAATCAATTGTGAAAGTGAATCATTTCAATGTGGAAAATAAATGATTTTGGGGTTTAATGAAGGCCGAAAGTACACAAATACATTTGAAATGTAGGCTTAATTGAATGTATTGTTATACCAATTAGGGAAATCTTACCAATAGGAGATGCAACACTAAATTGGCAAACATTCCTAAGGGAGTTTGGTGCTCCATTCTCACACCAGAACGGTAGTTAAAGGGTCTAAACCTGAGGGGTGATACACAGCTGAGAGGCCTCATTCAGCACTCCTTACCTTTGTTAGCTGTGCTATTTTCTTGCTCATCTTCAGGTGCAGGTCTTGGGTATATTCCATGGCGATGCCAGTCTGAAACGACATGCTGGTTCCCGTGGATGAACTAAATTTCCCCTGACCGGCAGGGCAGTAATACTGCTGCCAACCCGACCCAGTCGCCATCTTCACGATTATGCTTTCTGATAAGAGATATATGGACTGTAATATTAAACTGCACGGCTCTCAGTAGAAACCAGTGGAGAGCTCTGGAGCAAGTGAGCGTTTTTTTCCGGCAACACTTTGAAAAAAAAATCAAATATATGAAGCCTTTTTAGCCCACAAAGTGTTAAAATTAGGATTCATTTTTGCTTGCATCCGGATAATAATACACCAAAAGGTGATTTTTCAGGTTTTTAAGCCCCAGAAACGTTTGCTACTACCATCTTGTCCGTGGACAAAAAGCGTCCGTTTGCAGCGGTCCTGTCTGCTGTCACCTGCCGGGATGTGGAGCTTGTTTTCGGGGCAGCTGACTGACAGGCTCCCGGTCGGTCACCTTGATGCTGGATGTTTTTTCTATCGGTTAAGAGTGATTCCTCCTCGCTGCATTCCGGCTACATTGACGGAGAGTGTGTAGAGATTGGAGGTGTGTGTGTGTAGGACTGGCTTCTCTGTTGCCATGGATCACCTCAACAGTTTATGCTGCATTCACGTAGGATGGGAGCAGCGCTGCCTTCAGGTGGTGTGGGAAAAATCAAAACATTGACGTGTGAGCGATCCTGCGAATGTGGTGAAAGCGAAGTGTGACGTTCAAGGGGCGGGGGTTGATTGCAATATAGGGATTATAATTTAAATAACAATGAGGGGGAAATTAACTAATATGCGGGGTCATATCTACGTCAATGTATTGATTAAATATACGTATACAAAAATACCACATTGTTAACAAGCAATGTCATACGCTGAACTGTCAGTCTTGATGTCGTTACTTTTAAATGTGAAAAGTGAAAACAACTATAATATAATAGTGTTTAATCTCATATATTACGGTTGATTGTGATATTGTTGGTAAGTGTTATGAAAAAGATGACTGGAGAGAATAATATAGGATCAGAAGTTGATTTGTAAATATGGAAAAATACATAAAATATTTTTTATGAACCTTGCCAACAATGTCATGGACTTGATTTAATATAGTTATGCATACATTATTTATGTTATGTTTTTCATTTATTAATTCGTAATATCTTCCATTACAAACAGTGAAATAAGAAAAAAGGAAAACACAATTAGGCATTAATGTGTACATTTTTTTCTTTTAAATAGATTTTTGACCCTTGGCAGATGTCTCCCCCCCCCATCCCCCCCCCCAATGTTGACTATTATGGACTAAATGACATTGCATTTCATCAAATAAAAGCCCCTATGAAGGTTGAGAGAAAATGCAAACACTCACTTATTATACATAATTAGTTTGAGTCATCTGGATTTAATTTGTTTAGTGAGGTGGATTTACACCCATTCACTTTCACCATCGATGTGCTGTGACAACAACAAGTCAACAAGTGAAATACCAGTTACATAAGAGATTAAGAAAATAAATACAGTGTGCAAATCGATTTTGACAGGATAACAACTGGTGACTTCTAGAATTGTGTGAGTAACATTCTGTTTTTAGACTTCTCTGTTTCAGTGTGTGTACTCTGTATAAATGCTCTGTAGTTGATCTGACTGAAATTGTGATTTTAAAATCTCAAACCCGCTACAGTATCTGTCAGGCAGAAACTTGGGACAAGTAATTTGACTGAAACCTTAAAACTGAACTAACTGACTGCTAGGGTTAACTTTGATTTAAACATTTGTAGAATACTAAGAGCTTTATTGAGTAGGTGTAACTGTATAAGGGTTAAACTCATAACTTTATAACTTAGGGTTTAATGTAGGCTAATTGTAAAACCATTGGGCCACTGTAAAGACACAATAACAACTGCTGCAGAGAGTTAACTAATTAAAGGGACGTGGCCCCACAGCTGTGAGAACTCAGCAATCAGGTGTCCATTTTAGGTAGCACTTTCCTGGAGCGTCAGCTTCAGCGTCAGACAGTCTAAGACATTAGAGTCCTGCGGGAGTAAAACTGACAAAGACATTAGAGTCCTGCGGGAGTTACGAGGGTGGCAAAGAGGAGGCAAATCCTACTTTGATTGAGCTAAGTAGTGCTGGTGTTTGTTTTTTTTATTTGTTTTTTTTTAGCCCCTCATGCTTTAATCATGTGTATTTTCACCATTCCTGTTCATGTGTCTTCTCGCAATTATCACTGGCCCCGTGTATCCTGTAATCGATATAACCGGCCTGCTCTCGTCTATCCCACATGATCCACTGAGATCCAACATCTATAGTTTCAGGGGGCCTGTGGAATTGCCAGTCAGCTGTTCCTAAGGCTGACTTCATCTCTGGCCACGCCTCCCTGCAGTCCCTGGATTTCCTTGCTCTCACTGAGACCTGGATTCCTCCATCCAACACATCCACCCCAGCAGCTCTCTCCACAGCATATTCCATCTCCCATACACCCAGAACCACTGGCAGAGGAGGTGGCACTGGTCTCCTACTCTCTCCCAAATGGAGCTTTTCCCTCTTCAAGCTACCTAACTTCACTCCTTCCACCTTTGAATTCCATGCCGTCACAGTAACCCATCCTATACAATTAACCATTGTTGTTCTCTACCCTCCACCAGGCGCCTTGGGGGACTTCTTGGAGGAATTCGATAATCTCCTCTCACAAATCCCTGAAACTGGCCCTCCCACTGCACTTCTCGGAGACTTCAACCTCCAGACCAGTGGCGTTTTCTCCTGGAGGCCAAGGGAAGCCAGGCTTCCCCTGTTTTTTCGGAGTGTAGTTATAATTGTAATAAATAAATAAAAACACTTCGTTTAGTTTCGGAAATTCTTTGTTGTGTGTTGCTGCCGGCCCGTCTCTCCCCCATTCTCATTGAGTATTTTACAAAGAGTGAAACAGCGCCCCTCTAGATGTTATGGTGAAACAGTAGATTGCACTCTCTGCTGCGAGAGGAGGCTAGCCGAAATTGGCTTCCCTTGGTGAAAAAAAATTGAGAGATTGACCAATCAGATGAGGCTCACGTGATGCCCCTGCCAACCTGTGATTGGTCAGGGCCATGCCAAGGGAAGTCAGAGGCGGCTGGCTTCCCTTGCCTCACAATCCAATCAAATCACATCAATTTAGTGTTGCAGTGACGCATCCTAAAACCCGGAAGTAAACTGCGCTCGGGTTCCCTCGACAGAAAGCAATGGGATTTCTCCATAGGATTTTGGAAGATAGCTCGAAATAAGGTCAGTGGAAAACGAACCTGTTAGATAAATGCACGTTGTGTTCAGTCGGATAATATCCACATGTCTACCCTACTTTTATAATTTTCGAATCATAAATCGAATCGATAGAAGATAGATAGCGTCACTGCACCACTCTCACCGCCGTTAGAAAGTAGCAAGCAACTGAAGCAAGTGCAATTATGGAGGGTGAAGATTTGGAGTATTTACTCAAAAATAATTGTACTAAACTTCCGCTACAGCAGCAACAACAAATACAATCTGATGATAGGCCGATGCCCAAACTGGAGCTGTGTACAGCGAGGAAAAAAGGAGCGAATCGGACGTAAAACGTTAAAGGTCTCCTGATTTAGTTTGTGAATGAATGCTTATTAGAGTTTGGACTGGAGAGTGCGTGCGGACCTGTCAGTTAGATAACAGGCGTGTGTAAGTCCTGCATCTGTATGATACAAATGTGTGTAAAATGATACCGGGTGCTGTAATCACTCATCTGGTTACGTTATTATATTGACCACCACACCCCCGACCCAAAACAAAGGACGTATTATTGGCTTCCCCTAATTTTTTTCCCACGCCACGCTACTGCTCCAGACAGGGAAGATAGACAAACTAACATCTCTTTTAACCATCTTTGCTTTCTCACTGTCTCCATCCCCACCAACTCATAAAACTGGCAATGTCCTTGATCTCATATTCTCAAGGAACTGCACTACTTCTAACCTCTCTGTAAACCCGCTCCACACATCCGATCACTTCATCATTTCATTCTCTCTACCCCTTTCCAAACATAACAAACTAATCTCTTCTCATCCTGCACCTGTCCGCCGTAACCTTTGTTCCCTCTCCCCCTCTACCTTTGCCTCATCGGTGCTCTCAGCCCTCCCTTCCTCTGACTCGTTCCAACTCCTGCCTCCAAACTCTGCTGCAGAAACTCTCCTCTCTACTCTCTCATCCTCTCTGGACTCTCTCTGTCCTCTCACATCTCGGCAGGCTCGTCAGTCCCCTCCTGCTCCCTGGCTAAATGACGCACTGCGTGCTAATAGAACCGTCCTTCGGGCAGCAGAGCGGAAATGGTGGAAATCCAAACACCGTGACGACCTCCTAACCTATCAGGCTCTCCTCTCCTCTTTCTCTGCTTCGATCTCTCAGGCAAAAAGCACTTTCTTTCAAGATAAGATCTCCATCAGAACAACCTTCTGGATCCGCACCAGTCTGGTTTCAAGGCAGGTCACTCCACAGAAACTGCCCTCCTTGCTGTCACTGAGGAACTGCACACGGCTAAGGCAGCCTCCCTCTCCTCTGTCATCCTTTTGGATCTGTCTGCTGCATTCGACACGGTGAATCATCAGATCCTCCTTCGCACTCTCCAAGAACTTGGAGTTTCAGGCTCTGCACTTTCCCTCCTCACCTCATACCTCAAAGACCGCACCTACAGGGTTACTTGGAGAGGGTCGGAGTCCGACCCTTGTCAATTAACTACAGGGGTCCCTCAGGGCTCTGTTCTTGGTCCCCTCCTCTTCTCCTTGTACACAAACTCGCTCGGATCAGTCATTAGCCTGCATGGTTTTTCATACCACTGCTACGCTGACGACACCCAATTAATTCTGTCCTTTCCCCGCTCAGAGACCCAGGTCGTCGCACACATCTCTGCTTGTCTAGCTGACATCTCTCAGTGGATGTCTGCTCACCACCTCAAGCTCAACCTTGACAAGACTGAACTGCTTTTCCTTCCGGGAAAAGATTGTCCCACTCTTGACCTAACAATCAACATCGGCACCTCAGTTGTTTCCCCGACTCAGACTGCAAGGAATCTGAGTGTGACCCTAGATAACAACCTGTCCTTCACTGCAAACATAGCTGCTACAACCCGCTGCTGCAGATACACGCTTTACAACATCAGGAAGATACGTCCCCAACTGACCCAGAAAGTGACGCAGGTTCTGGTCCAGGCTCTCGTCATCTCACGCCTAGACTACTGCAACTCCCTCCTGGCTGGTCTACCTGCATGTACCATCCGACCTCTGCAGCTCATCCAGAATGCAGCGGCTCGTCTGGTCTTCAACCTTCCTAAATTCTCCCACACCACGCCGCTCCTCCGCTCCCTTCACTGGCTTCCGGTAACTGCTAGAATCCACTTCAAGACAATGGTACTTGCGTACCATGCTGTGAATGGATCTGGCCCTTCCTACATCCAGGACATGGTTAAACCGTACACCCCAGTACGTGCACTCCGCTCTGCATCAACCAAACGGCTCGCTGCACCCTCGCTGCGAAGGGGACCCAAGTTCCCATCAGCAAAAACACGTGGGTTTGCTATCCTGGCTCCAAGATGGTGGAATGAGCTCCCCATCGACATCAGGACAGCAGATAGCTTACACACCTTCCG